AAAAAAAAAAAGAGTGAAATTTATGTCATTAAGCACTTACATTAAAAAAGTAGAAGAAACTTTCATATTAGAGATCAACTTTTGTCCCAGGCAAGAAACATATAAAGCAAGCAGACTGCCCTCATAATGGGAGAAGATATTTGCAGGTTATGTCTCTGACAAAGGTTTAATAATCAGAACCTACAGAGAATCCAGATGTATTAGCAAGAAAAGAACAAGTGATCCCATCTCAGTGTGGGCAAGGGACTTGAATAGAAACTTCTCTGAAGACAGGCACATGGCCTACAGACACATGAAAAAATGCTCATCATCCTTAATCATCAGAGAAATGCAAATCAAAACCACTTTGAGATATCATCTAACTCCAGTAAGAAGCCCACATCACAAAATCCTGAAACCATAGATGTTGGCATGGATATGGAGGGCATGGATGTGGAGAAAAGGGAACACTTCTGCACTGCTGGTGGGAATCCAAACTAATATGTTCCTTTTGGAAAGATGTTTAGAGATCACTTAGGGATCTGAAAATAGACCTGCCATTAGATTCTTTAATTCCTCTACTAGGTATATATCCAAAAGACCAAAAATCACTTTATAACAAAGATATTGCACCAGAATGTTTACTGCAGCCCAATTCATAATTGCAAAGCCATGGAAGAAGCCCAAGTGCCCATTGACCCATGAATATATTAATAAATTGTGGTATATGTACACCATAGAATATTACACAGCCTTAAAAAAGATGGAGACTTTACCTCTTTTATGTTTACATGGATGGAGCTGGAACATATTCTTCTTAGCAAAGTATCTCAAGAATGGAAGAAAAAGTATCCAATGTATTCAGCCCTACTATTAAACCAATTTATAAGCACCTATACTTCCATATGAATGCTATAACCCAACTACATCCCAAGATAAAGGGAAGAAAGAAGGGGGAGAGGGGAGGAGGGGGCAGAATGGGTGGAAGGAAGGTAATTGGTGGGAGCACACCTATGGTGCATTTTACAAGGGTACATGTTAAATCTACTAAGTGTAGAATATAAATGTCTTAACACAGTAAATGTCTTAACACAGTAACTAAGAAAGTGTGGTGAAGGCTATATTAACCAGTTTGATGAAAATATTTCAAACTGTATATAAAACCAGCACATTGTACCCCATAATTACATTAATGTACATAGCTATGATTTAATAAAAAAAAGTAGAACGATCATATATAATACAACCTAACATCATATCTAAGGGTACTCCAAAAAGTTCCATACATAGGGGAAAATTATAACCACAGATATCTTGGAATGTGTTTGTCATGACTGGCAAATAAGAATTTGTAGATGTATAGAAAGAGGTAGCCAACATGTAGGAAATATTTTATAAATGTTTTATAAAAGTTTGTAATGAATATTTTGCAAAATATGGTACACTTAGCTATAATTTCCCATTTTCCTGATGTATGGGAACATTTGGGGCACACCATATAATAACAAAGCCAAGCCAAATAAATCAAACCAAACTTCTCTAAAGTTAGCAGAAGAAAGGAAATAGTAAAAATCAAGGCAGAACTAAATGAAATAGAGACTAAAAATTGATACAAAGGGTCACATAAAATTTGTTCTTTAAGAGATAAACAAATCTGATAAACCACTAGCTAGACTAACCAAGAAAAGAAGAGAGAGGATCCAAGTAAATGAAATCCAAAATGAAAAATGAGACATTACAATGGATACCACAGTAATGCAAAAAATCCATTTCCAATAGAGACTGTTAGGAACAATGACATGCTCACAAACATGAAAACCTAGAGGAAATGTATAAGTTGCTGGAAATGTAAAACCTGTCAGGATAGAACCAGGAGTAAATAGAAATCCTGAACAATTCAATAATAGTGATCTTGAAACAGTAATAAAAATCTCCTAAAAACAACAAGAACCTCAGAATCAGATGGATTCAGAGCCAAATTCTGCCAAATGTGCAACGAAGAATAATGCCAGCACTCCTGAGTCTGTTAAAAAAAAAAAATGGAAGAGAAGGCAATTCTCATTCTGCAAGGCCAGTATCAACCTGATACCAGAACCAGACGAAAATGCAACAACAACAAAAAGAAAATTGTAGACCAATATCTAGAATTGACAAAGAGACCCAAATCCTCAACAAAATACTAGCAAACTGAATCCAAGAGCATATCAAAAAGATAATATACCACAATCAAGTGGTATAGTGCATTCTCAAGAATGCAAAGGTGATTTAACCTATACAAAACAATAAATGTGATAAGCATTTATTATGAAAGGCAAAAAGAACATTTGATAAAATCTAGCATCCCTACATGATAAAATACCTCAACAAGCTAGCCAGAGGAGGACCATACCTCAAATATTAAAGGCCCTCTATCACAAACCCACAGACAGCGTCATACTGAATGGGGAAAAGTTGAAAACATTCTGTGTAAGAACTGCAACAGTAAACTTCATAATACAGATTTTTTTCTGTATTAATTCTCTTATTTTATTCCATTATTTTTATTGACAAATATTAATTGTACATATTTGGGGGTACATAGTGATATTTTGCTACATAAAACATATAAAGATTAGGTCAAGTAATTAGTACTGATATATCCATCATCTTAAACATTTATCATTTCTTCATTTTGGGAACATTCAATAACCTCTTTCTAGCTATTTGAAACTATATTATTGTTAACTGTAGTGATCCTATAGTGGTATAGAACAGGAGAACCACCTCAGCCCACCTAGCCATAAAGAAAATTTGTAAAGAATTTGTATTCTTTAACAAATTGTTTCCTATCCTCCTTTTCCCCTACCATTCCCAAACTTGAATATCCTCTGTTCTATTTGTACTCCTATGAAATAAATTTTTTTTAGTTTTCACATGAGTGAGACCATGTGGGGTTTAATATTCTGTTCCTAGATATTTTCAGCTAATATACAGCCCCCCATTTTATTCATGTTGTTGTGAATGACAAGATTTTATTTTTTTAAATGGCTGAATAGTATTTTATTATATATACAGAGGGTGCCAAAAAATGTATACACATTTTAAGAAAAGAAAAAAATATTAAAATTATAACACTTAATGTATACTGATAACATTCATTATCTTTTATTGTGTCTCTCTTATAATTATGGAAGTAAACATGACTTGAGTATTACAATTTTAATACAGTTTTTTCCTTTCTTTTTCTTTTTCTTTTTTCTTTTTTTTTTTTTTTTGAGACAGAGCCTCAAGCTGTCCCCCTGGGTAGAGTGCCGTGGCATTACAGCTCACAGCAACCTCCAACTCCTGGGCTCAAGCGAGTCTCCTGCCTCCACCTCCCAAGTAGCTGGGACCACAGGCGCCCGCCACAACGCCCAGCTATTTTTTGGTTGCAGCCGTCATTGTTGTTTGGCGGGTCGGGCTGGGGATTCGAACCCGCCACCTTAGGTATACGTGGCTGGCGCCTTAGCCGGTTGAGCTATAGGCACCGAGCCGTTTTTTCCTTTCTTAAAATGTGTTTACATTTTTGGCACTGTCTGTATAATATTTCCACATTTTCTGTATACATTCATGTGCTAGTAGACACTTGGATTGATTCCATGTCTTGGCTATTGTAAATACCACTGCAAAAAAACAGTGGGAAGAGGGAAGATGTTTAACCTACTGATTCTCTTTTCTTTGGATAAATGTCCAGTAGTGGGATTGCTGTATCATCTGATAGTTCTGTTTGTAGTTTTCTGAGGAAATTTCATACCGTTCTCTGTAGTGGCTGAACCAGTTTACATTCCTATCAACAGTGTATTCAAGTTACCTTTCTCTGTATGTGTGACAGGATTTGTTTTTTGTCTTGGGTTTTCTTGGATAATAACCATGCTAACTGGGGTGAGATGATATCTGATAGTGCTTTTGATTTGCATTTCCTTGATGATTAGTGATGTCAAACATTTTTCATATATTTCTGGCCACTTGTATGGTATTAATTTTCTTGTGTAAATATTGTCTAGAGACCTCAGCAGTTATCACTCTATAAAAGACTTTCTCTTGGGAACTTACTGCCTTCTAAGATTCATCCCAGAAATTCTTCTAAGTATTTTCTATCATGTTTTGTATTAACCAATCAATGTTCTAGCTCAGTGATTTTTAGACTTCAAAATATTTGCAACGAACAAAGCTTTGTTTTCCACAAATAAAATCTTGTAGATACCGAAGTTACTAATCTGATAAAGATAATACTATGAAAAGACTTGGGCCAAGCAATAATCTTCCTATTAATCCTCTCTCCTGTAAGATCTGTTGAACAGCACCTGACACCCTGTTTCTGCATACATAAAGTTCTCACTATTCTTGGGCCACTGAGTAACCCGACCTTCTGGTTGACTGCTTCTGAGCCCACCTTCCACTTCACTGCTTGTATGTCCTTGCTTTTGCCAGACACAAAGCCTAACGAGTCCTTTCTCTATTTCCTGCACCATTTGGTCCTATTAAAATTATTCCGTTTTTTCAGCTACCACTTCTCCCATGAGGGCTTCTCTGATTGCCCAGCCAGAAGTGATCTAATTCCATGGTGTTCTTGGTCAGAAAGTTAAACTTGGCCACTTCCATGGTGTTAATTTTCTTATTTGAAAATTCCCTAGGGGTCTCACCATTGCTCTCTGTATAAAAGACACTCTCCTGGGCATTTAGTGCCTTTTAAGTTTAGTCCAGAAGTTCTGAGCATGTTTCTCTCACATTTTACATAAACTAATCATTCTTCTTTTTTTTTTTTTTTGAAACAGAGTCTTACTATGTTGCCCTCGGTAGAGTGCCATTGCATCAGGACTCACAGCAACCTCAAACTCTTGGGCTCAAGTGATTCTTTTGCCTTAGCCTCCCGAGTGGCTGGGACTACAGGCGCCTGCCACAATGTCCAGCATTTTTTTCTTTCTTTCTTTCTTTTTTTTTTTTTTAGCAGGCCTAGGCCGGGTTTGAACCCACCAGCCCTGGTGCATGTGGCTGGAATCCTAACCACTGAGCTATGGGCGTGGAGCCTACATAAATGAATCAATGTTCTAGGTCAGCGGCTTTCAGACTTTAAAATATCTTTAGTAAACAGATTTTTGTTTTCCTTAGTTGTTAATGACATTTAATGCATACTCGTCAGAATTATTTGATTATACTTATTTTATTCTCCTTATTAGTCTATCAGTCCTTAAGTCCCTCCAGGACAGGAGCTATGGTTTTTGTTATCTGTGCATTCCCTATAGCAGCATACTGCTTGCACGTAGCAGGCTTTGGTTAGTGCTACCTGAACAGATGGGTGAATAGAAGAAAGGATGCCTTGGATTTACTTTGGCTTGGGATGATATTTCTGCTTTTGGCTCTTAGCCTGTCTTTGACTCTTGATATTTGTTTGATCTTTCCATGCTATCTTACTTCTTTTTCACACATGGCTTCCTATCTGATAACACCCATGACCTAGAGAGATCCATGAAGAAATGGATCTCAAAAGTCATTACATCTCAGCCCCCTCTCCTTGTTCCACCCTCTTTGCCCAAAGCCTAGTCTAGTGCCTGGGAAATTATAAGGTACTCAATATTTGTTTGTTGAATTATTAAATTTATGAGGACTATTTGGAAGGAGAGCAAGTTTTTAAAGCCAAATCTTATTGTGCTCATAGTCCATGTTCCCGTAGAGAAGCAGATGTAGTTACTGGGACTTTGGGGTACTCAATATTTCTTTGTTGAATTATGGAAGATAGGAGGATGATTTGGAAAAAAAAAACAATTTTTAAAGCCAAATCTTACTGTGTTTATAGCCTATGTTTGTGTAGAAAATCAGATGCTATAACTGCATAGCTATCCACAGGAAGATATGTTAATATTGTTCAAAATAACTTATGGGATTCCAGTTTAGGTCGGGGGCTGCTGCTTGCCCCTCCAACTTAGTACCCATTTCTATGCAAATGTTTTATTTACACTGTTTCATTAGCTTGGTTTTCCCCCTGAATACTGTTCTTGATAATGATTTACAAATATTTATTCTTAAAGAAAATGTTAGAGCAAAGTACAGAGTGAGTATTTTCCCAGACACGCTGTGCTCTACAGATGGCCTTAACATAATCCACAGGGATGAGAGCCTTGAAGACCACAGCAGGTGACTCAAAGAGAGACTGTGTTTGTTTAGTGTATTTTTAAATGGTGATATGTTGAAAATAAAAAAAGATTGAGGGAATATTTGGACATAAGCAGCTAAATTTAAAATTATTTAAAGGTTATAGCCTAAATTTCTAAACTTGTTCGTCTGTTTTTGCTAACACAACTTGAAAGACAAAATGCTTCCTCACACACTCATGCACAAGAAAGGCGTTGATAAATGTCATTTGGGGGATTTAAAGTGACATATTCACTGTAAAATATTCAAATGCAAAAGTATATTGAACAAAATGGGAACAGTTGCACTCTCATGCCTACTTCCCTTCTCTGGGGTTAACCACACTTCTGAGTTTGCTGGTCATCCGATCAGTCCATTTTACAAACACATGTATGTTTTCCTATATTATCTTTTTCTAAGATACATGGTATATAGATAAAACAATATGCATATCAGTTAGAATTTAATTTTACCTGCATAAAAAATGACTTAACCAAATGAACATTTATTTTTTATCAAATAGTAGGTAGTGTAAGACTGGTAGGAAGATCCACAGTGCCATGAGGGCTTTCTATATCTTTTTAGTTCTGTTCTTAGTTATTGCTCTCACCCATAGGCTTGTTACCTCAAGACTGCCCAGATGCCTGTTGTATGTCCAGTATTTTTCCACATTCCTGGCTGGAAGAGGAAAAAGGTCCAAGAGCAATGACTCTCACAACCCTTCAGTCAGAACTCTTCCACTTGGTCGTACCAAGGTACAAAATTATTTTTTAATTAAAAAATCAAATCGGCTCGGTGCCTATAGCTCAACCAGCTAAGGCGCCAGCCACGTACACCTAAGGTGGCGGGTTCGAATCCCCAGCCCGGACCCGCCAAACAACAATGACGGCTGCAACCAAAAAATAGCCGGGCATTGTGGCGGGTGCCTGTGGTCCCAGCTACTTGGGAGGCGAAGGCAGGAGACTCACCAAGCCCAGGAGTTGGAGGTTGCTGTGAGCTGTAATGCCACGGCACTCTGCCCAGGGGGACAGCTTGAGGCTCTGTCTCAAAATAAAAAAAATAAAAAAAATAAAAAATCAAATCAATTAGTTAAAGGTGGGCACATTGTCTCCCTGAATAAGGTTAAGGGCCTCTTGGCAAGAAAAACTGAAGTGATGCTTATTGGATAGGCAACCAGAATGTCTGCCATAATGAATTTTGTTTATCTCACTAACAATATACCTGCAGCCCTTCTGGGTTAGTATATTCCTCTTTATTTTTAATTGCTTTAACTGTTCCCCTACTGAGGCATAAATCTATTTCCTTTTTCTTTTATTCAAGCAGAGCTACTATGAACATCCTGTATTCTTAATTTTATATTTGTAATTGTGGATTTATTTTCTTATAAAGGCTTCCCCAAATTGTATAAACTTCAGGTCTCATAGCACCTAAAACCTATTCTTAAATATTCATCAATATCTCATTTTTATTGGTTGCCTTCTCAGTAACTGAGCTTATGTGATTTTTTAGTTAATGATGTTTCACATTTTTAAAGAAGATGTAATTATTATTATTAATAATAGGTAATGTATGTGGTTCTACATGCTTTACTTTAAAATTAATTTGTCCTCGCACTGACTCTATGAGATAGATACCGTTCTTATCTACATTTTACAAACTAAGAAACTTAAACACAGAAAGACTAAGGCATAATGTCACAAAATTATTATCAGGGCCCTTTTCTTCAGTTTTTATTTTTCTAAAATCCCAAGCATGTTCTTGTTCAATTTAATGGTATATAAAAAAAATTTGTTGAATATTTGAAAATAGATGAACCCATCTCCTATATCAAAACTTAAAACCTAATGTGGAATAGTATAGTATAGTATGAGAAAAATAGATTTTCCTCAGTGTGCTCAATGTTAGATCTAATAATATAGAAATAAGTTATTCATTTGAGATAATTAAGAAATAAAATACTCATCTAAATACATCTTTCAGATAAGGAATGTATTCTGAAGAGAAATATTACTTGTAATACTGTTCTCTATAAACACCAATTTGGGGATTATTTTACTTAGTGTCATTATAACAGCTATGAATTCTGATATTAGGAAGCTTACCTGTCTATTCCTTTGTGGCTCCAAATTTAAAAAAG